ATTCTCAGGTGAATTGTGTTATAATGCGTGGTTTCAATGATGATGAGATTTGCAATTTTGTTGAGCTGACTCGTAATAAACCAATTAATATTCGGTTCATTGAGTTTATGCCCTTTGATGGAAATGTTTGGAATGTAAAGAAATTGGTACCCTACTCAGAAATTTTGCAAACAGTGGTAAGGTAGAATCCTTACAGGCAATCAATCTAAAAGATTTTAGATTTTCGCTAGTGATCTTTCTATATGCTAATTCCTTATATATTGCTGAACAGGATAAACACTTCACAGGCCTGACACGACTTGGGGATCATCCCACAGAGACAGCGAAGAACTTCAGAATAGATGGGCACCTGGGTACAGTTTCTTTTATCACGTCAATGACTGAACATTTTTGTGCTGGTTGCAATAGATTGCGACTTTTAGCAGATGGAAACTTTAAAGTCTGCTTATTTGGTCCGTCAGAGGTAAATCTTCTTCTAGTCTATTGTTGCATTCATCTTAGAATGAGAGTATGGAAACAGATTTTGTTGGAGTGTAAATCCAGTGAAACCTCCTTGGGAACTTTTTAAATTCGTTGATATTTCAAGGTCATAGATTTTAAATTTCTTTTCAAAAGGTGCTTTTGATTGGTTTATTATTGACTAACATCTGGGTCCTAGGCCTTATAATGTTCATGACAATGGAGTAGATGTAGAACATTAATTGGATATGTGGTGAGCCTATGTGGCACTAGGTGTTAAAGAAGACTTCATTTAGTCTTTAAGTGATTCTCAGTGGTACCTGGTCTTTCTTGTCGGCCTCTTGAAGTAAGGGTCATACAGGTATACTCATGTATTCTAAATCTTGATCCCTAGTGATATTTAGATGAACTTATTTTGTCTTGTAATAGCCAGTATTTTTCCAGAGGACGTCCTTCTTGACTGGGGGGAATGTAATATTGTCAGATGTAGGGAGTGCATAATATTATACATACTTGTGGTTAAGCACCTTAGATTTTTAGTAGATAAGCCTCCAAGGTGATGTGGTAGGTCTGCTCTATAACCTGATCATTAATGAAGGGCTGAGAGATTTTTATGTATATGGATAAGAAATAGTCCCTATAGGTGACGTAGTTTTCGTTGACCAAGTTAAGTTTCATATTCATATGTTGTTATAGTAGCCAAATAGCTAAAGGTCTTCAGTTTCTATGCCTGCAACCATAGCCTCCGCCCCCTCCCTCCATATGTTCAGCTAACCTTGTTTTCAACAATGTGTTGTGCACAGTTGAGTTGAATGGACTTTACTTTCAGATTTATTTCTTACTTAAAATGTGTCATTTGCTGCTTGACCTTCATTCCCTTAGATTTTTGCATGGATCAAGTTATTATGTGGTAGACTGTTAGGCACAGATTCCTGGTAGAAGGCCCCATCATGAACTTCGTGCGATTTATTGATTCTTGAAGTCAAGTAGCTAGGGATTATTAGTTCATTGTTTTTGTGAATGTTTGATTAATCCACCACACCTAAATGGTGTGAAAGTTATCTTATTTATAATCAAATAAATTACAAGGATATGGAAATAGTAATAAATGAAAATAACAATAAATGGAAAGATACCTATAGTAATAAGGCAAATGTTAGATATTTGCCTTATAATAAAATATCAAATATAATATATATGGTAAACTATAATTTATTACTAAATATCCTTAACACCCCACCGCAAGCTAAGCGTCGGATTTAAACGAACGTGAAGCTTGAATCTGAAAAATTCAAAGAGGTTGAAAAACACTTTTCGTGAAGATGTTAACAACCTGGTTCAGAGGAGGCGTAGAGAAACACTTTCTTGGCCATCGAAAACTGCAGAGAGATCGCCGCTCAGCGGCAGATGCTACCTTGGCTTCGGTGAGAATATGTCTAACCCATGAAGAGGGATTGTCGCTTAGCGACGATGCTGACTTGGCTCTGGTGAGAATATGTCTAACCCCAAGAAGTAGAAGGGGAAACCTAGAGCAAGGGCCAAAGACAATGTTGAAGCCGGAAGAGTCGCCACATTGGGCGAATGAGCCAATTTTGGCGAGAAGGGCAGCTGGAAGAGTCGCCACATTGGGGCGAAGGGGCCAATTTTGGCGAGAAGGGCGGCGGCAACTTGGTTGGCGAAGATGCCAGTGCGGCGCCCAGATTCCAAAGGTAAATCTCTGCAGAAGGTCGATGGGGTTATTGAGATTCTGTATATTTTCGAAGAGGGATGCTGATGAAGATCCTAAGATTAGGGTTTTTGTGAAGGATGAAGGATGAAGGATGAAGGAAAAATTGGGAAGAAAATGAAAGAGGCTATGTTTGGAAAAGGTGAGGTTGTATGTACAGAGTATGGCGAAGGATGATTTGGAGGTCAAAAAGGTGGAGCCGAAGAATAATCAATCGACTCTGCATGTGACAGCCATGACGACTGCCCCTGCGGCATCAAAGACAACAGTGGTGGTGGAGAAGAACAGTAGAAGATTTCAAAAGCCATTGAAAAGAAAGGATCTAGGTTGCTAAACCAAAATGGCTCTGATACCATGTGAATGTTTGCTTAATCCACCACACCTAAATGGTGTGAAAGTTATCTTATTTATAATCAAATAAATTACAAGGATATGGAAATAGTAATAAATGGAAATAACAATAAATGGAAAGATACCTATAGTAATAAGGCAAATGTTAGATATTTGCCTTATAATAAAATATCAAATATAATATATATGGTAAACTATAATTTATTACTAAATATCCTTAACACCCCACCGCAAGCTAAGCGTCGGATTTAAACGAACGTGAAGCTTGAATCTGAAAAATTCAAAGAGGTTGAAAAACACTTTTCGTGAAGATGTTAACAACCTGGTTCAGAGGAGGCGTAGAGAAACACTTTCTTGGCCATCGAAAACTGCAGAGAGATCGCCGCTCAGCGGCAGATGCTGCCTTGGCTTCGGTGAGAATATGTCTAACCCATGAAGAGGGATTGTCGCTTAGCGACGATGCTGACTTGGCTCTGGTGAGAATATGTCTAACCCCAAGAAGTAGAAGGGGAAACCTAGAGCAAGGGCCAAAGACAATGTTGAAGCCGGAAGAGTCGCCACATTGGGCGAATGAGCCAATTTTGGCGAGAAGGGCAGCTGGAAGAGTCGCCACATTGGGGCGAAGGGGCCAATTTTGGCGAGAAGGGCGGCGGCAACTTGGTTGGCGAAGATGCCAGTGCGGCGCCCAGATTCCAAAGGTAAATCTCTGCAGAAGGTCGATGGGGTTATTGAGATTCTGTATATTTTCGAAGAGGGATGCTGATGAAGATCCTAAGATTAGGGTTTTTGTGAAGGATGAATGATGAAGGGAAAAATTGGGAAGAAAATGAAAGAGGCTATGTTTGGAAAAGGTGAGGTTGTATGTACAGAGTATGGCGAAGGATGATTTGGAGGTCAAAAAGGTGGAGCCGAAGAATAATCAATCGACTCTGCATGTGACAGCCATGACGACTGCCCCTGCAACATCAAAGACAACAGTGGTGGTGGAGAAGAACAGTAGAAGATTTCAAAAGCCATTGAAAAGAAAAGATCTAGGTTGCTAAACCAAAATGGCTCTGATAGCATGTGAATGTTTGATTAATCCACCACACCTAAATGGTGTGAAAGTTATCTTATTTATAATCAAATAAATTACAAGGATATGGAAATAGTAATAAATGAAAATAACAATAAATGGAAAGATACCTATAGTAATAAGGCAAATGTTAGATATTTGCCTTATAATAAAATATCAAATATAATATATATGGTAAACTATAATTTATTACTAAATATCCTTAACAGTTTTACTGGTTCTTGGTGTATGTATAAAAATTCTAACTCTCCCATTAATTCATTAGGGGTTATTAATTTCAGGTTAGCTTGAGAGACCCACTTCGTCATGGTGCTGATGATAATGGGCTTAGGGAAATAATTGGTGCAGCGGTACTTAACTTTATTTGATTCCAAGCATCAACTTATATACGTATTTCCATATTTCGGAATATGCCTTTATTTGAGTACTGCTAGTAATTTTACTCGTGTACCTCAGGTAAGAAGAAAGAAATCTTCACATGCTGGAATGTTTGACATTGCAAAGACTGCAAATAGACCTATGATACACATTGGCGGCTAATCTAAACTTGGTAATTCCTTTGCCAACGCATCTCTCCCTTTCCAAACATGCCCTAAAGATAAACGCACATCTCTTGCAAACCTAAACTGTTCAATCTTCTTTGTTAAGGATTCTAGATGTGTCTGTTTCAGGTTCCATTTCTGTCCAACTAGATTGACTAGAGTAGAGTCCTGTTGGTGTACATGGATACCGTCGAGATCAAAGTCAAAACTGTAGTGCTAATATGAAGAAGCCTGGTAAGTGAAAAACCATAAAAAGGCATACACTGCACTAGTTAGTATTGTAAAAGATATGTCTGGCTGATTCATGTGCAACTTTGGTTGGTAACATTATGATGCCAGTTGTAATTTAAATGCTAATATAGAGTGGTTAGTGTTGTTTATTTTGCATCTTAACTTTAGAAGACGTCGCTCATCAAATCAAATAGAAAACCATGCATTTGGGTAACCTCACGTTTATACATCAGAATAGTTCATCCTTTTGTGCATCCTATACACTTCAATATGTTTGCGTATATTGTTTTTTATTGGTTAAATGGCTCGGGTCTACTGCATTTAATCGTATAAGTAGGCGATTTGAGTTGTCTCTTTACTTCTATATGCATAATTGTTTGATGGTTGAAAGTCTTGGACCAATTTAGAATGACTTTTTAAGAGCTTTAACGTGTGTGTATTATATATGTATACGTGTGTTACTGTTGTCGTCGTTTTATTTTATTTTTTTACTTTGAAATACCTTTTAAGCTCTTAGAAGACATTCCCTTCAAATTAGTTTCATTTGAGGATGGTTGAATTTGTGGTAAATTCGAAATTATCAAACATGGTTAGGAACTTCAAACATTTAACACACTTTAAAAATGGAACAATTATGCATAAATATTCACAAAATTTAAAGAATGGAACACCAAATGACAAATAATAGAAGAAACCCATCGGCCAGCTTCATTTAAGAACTGCCTTCATCAAACATGGTTCCACATTCCCCACGACTTTCGTCTGGGTCGCCGGTGCCGGAGGGGAAATCGGAGAGAGCTGCCATAATCCGACGGATACTCAGAGATCGGACCTGTCTGAAACTAAGAGACCTCTTCGTGTTCTTAGAGAAGACATGGGAAGATTTAGAGAGAATTAGATAAACCAGGATCTGCACAAGGAGGAACACGGCTGCAGTCTCAGCCATTCCTTCCAAATGCCTAATCTCCATCATCATCAGAGATTAGAAGTGAAAACTATCAGAAATCGAAGGCGAAAGCAATGGAGTTAACTGGAATGACATGGGAGGAAGAAGAAGCAGAAGGCGTATATAAACTAATTCGGTGAATTAGGAATTGGAAAAGCGTGGAGGTTTTGTTTATTTAAGAACTTGAAACTTACTTTGACTTGCTGCTTAAGCTAGAGCGTAGGATAGGCGGTGGAGCCGTGGAAGTTTCGACCTCCTTGTAGCTCTCTCGACCTTTTTTGTGTCCAATATTGAAGTTTCAACCAATTTCCTCCAATTTTGCTTGAAATGATTTTTGAAACTTCTTTAAAAATTCAAAATTAGGATTCCATTTCACAGGTAAAGTCTAATCTAATAATCCAATTAGCCTTTTTCACCGCTCTCGAGGTGAACACGACTCCCTTTCTCTAGTCTTAACCTCCCAAGACCATGTCCTCAATGCTCGAGGTCAAGTTCTAGTTGACATTAGTATTATTAATAATGTCAGGTTGTATAGAAGATAGAACAAACAATTTTCAACTCATCTTTCTTTTTCGACTCTAATTCTTTCTCTTTGATGCTACTAGTGCAAGAGGCGAACTCCTCGGTTTTTGATCTATTAAATGAGTTCTTAGAGATAAAGTTGGAAAGTAGGAGTCGAATAAAGAAAAACCTTTTGGTAGCATAAATCAAACATTAAATTGATTGAATAATTGAATAATCGAACATTAACGTCCAGACACAAAATTAAGGGTATTTTGATAGGTATTTAAGTACTATTAAACCTTCTGAGTGTGTAGACACAAAATTAGAATCAAAAGCTAAAAAATCAAAAAAAAAAAAAAATTTAAGAAAAAAATCTTGAAAGTGAAAGCTTGTAATTTAATGGGTAAGTTTGAAGCAATATTGTGGGCTGGTAAAAGAATCTGTAAGATCTTACAGGCAGTTTTAGTAATATATTAGCGATAAGAAAAGACTTTCCTGGTTTAAAAGTTTCAGCAGTTCATCTCTCTCTGCTATCTTTTTCTGAAAGATTCCGATATAAAAGGCAAAAGAGAGAGAGATTTAAGAGCGAAGAGTGGAAAGGAAGGAGGGAGGAGGAAGAGGAGGATGAAAGTGACTTTGAGTAGACGTTCCAAAGTCAGGATTTGGTTGCTTCTTTCCCAATGCAATGTCTATGTGGAACGGCGTCACCCCTTTTACTCTCTCTTTCCCCCCCCCCCCCCCCCCCCCCCCCC